AAACTCTTCCACTGTGCCATCTCACTATTGTACATTTTTAAAAGTCCTGTTACCTCATCAATCCTTGATGGGCTCCGCAGTCTACTGCTCAGTATCTGCACTAAATTCCTAATTTGGCTAATATAGATCCATGGAATGTGGACACACTAACTCTCTACACACTGCTCTTCCCTGCAAGGCTCATTCAGAACCATACTTGGAACCATGTGGACCTTAAATTACATTTGCTATTTCATTTCTTTTTTTTTTCTGGATGCTATTTCATTTCTTAAACTCCAGTTCATATCTCTGGCTGATCAGTTCTTCCATATGTTTCTTTGTTTTAGCTTAACTATAAATTGTCCTTTTCTACTACCCCAGTCCTCACCTAAAATTGAGTAAGACCTGCTGGCAAGGTTAATTACATTCCCCAACTCAGATAGCTCCTGTTCTCTGAACTTCATCAACACAAACTGCTGCCTTCATTGGCAACTTTTACTACATCCAAATGGGTATATTCCTTTTCCTCAAAACAATGTCTGAGGGCCGGTGACACCTGAGACATCATAGTGTCTGGGTGAGATAACGTGTATACTATTCTCAACTGGACTGGTGAGAAATGTATGCATGTTGGAATATTACTTTGCAAGCCAAGTATTTTCTTTTTATATATATTAAAAGTAATATGGCAGTTTCTTCTGTGTGGTCGCTGAGGAGAAACTGTCACTGAGCTGACTGCTCTGCCAGATACGTTGTCCATGAGATATTTTTGCTGTATGGCATGAGCACTCACCAGAGAGAGAAAAACACTGAAATTTTGATAGAATATTTGTATCAATGACAGAAATAATACTTCATTTTGATCAATTTTGGGAATGTGGTCATCTTTGTAAAGATTGAACTTCCACGTTTGAGAAGAAACCGAGCTCCACCAGATGACTAGAAATAGCTGCAGGACCACAGGAAATATGGGGAAGCAGGTAAATACCTCTCCCACAAGGGAAAAGGATACCTCCTCATCATCCACACATAGTTCAATTGAAATCATGGAAATGTCTGATAAAGAATTCAGAACATTCATAATGGCAAAGCTAACAGAGATGGAAAAGAAGAGAGACAATGATCTGCAGAAGAGGAAGGAAAAAGAAGTTGAAGAGTTCCAGGAGGTGAGGAAATTCATGCAAGATCTAAAAGAGTAATTTCACACTTTACAAAAGAATCAGATGGAAATGTTAGAGGAAGTCAAAATCTCCCTTGAAAGTACTAAAAGCATACTAGTTCATACAGAAAATATAATCTTAGATGTAGAAGAGAAAATTTCTGGCCTAGAAAAATCTACCATGAAGACTGAAAAAAAAGCCCCCAAAATTTGAGAATAATATACAAGAAATACTAGATACCATCAAACATCCAAACATCTGGATAATAGGCATCCCAGAAGGTGAAGAGACTCATAAGGGCATTGATAATCTATTCCATGAGATACTGCAAGAAAACTTTCCAAACCTAGAGAGGCACTCAAAGAGTCCCAAGAAATACAGAGGACCACAAATAGAATCAACCCTAGAAGATCTTCTCCAAGACACATTATAGCCAGATTGACCAAAACCACAGACAAAGACAAGATACTAAGATTGGCAAGAGAAAAATGGCAAGTTACCTACAAGGGGTATCCCATCAGACTAACAGCAGACCTCTCATCGAAAACAATGTGAGTGAGGAAAGAATGAGAAATATATATTCAAAGTGTTAAGGGAAAAGCATTTTTGACCGAGAATACTTTACCCAGCAAGATTATCATTCATTTGGGAAGAAAAGACATGAACATTCCTAGATGAACAAAACCTGAAAGAATTTACAACACCAGACCAGATCTCCAAGAAGTTCTTAAGGGACTGCTATGTCAGTAAAATTAAATGCAGACACACAAAGTTAGAGTTTAGAAACTAAGAAAATGTGCTACTTAATTGTAGAGAAAAGGTCTGGAGTCCCAGAGTTCAATCTGGAAGATTGAACCATAATAGAAGAAAGATTAAGCACATGAGACTGAACTGATGAAACAGCATTCTGTGACTTTAAGGATTTTGTCCTGTCTTGAGCTGTCAATAGATTCATGTACCTACTATTTGAACAGAATACTAACCTGTTTCTAGGCTTTAAGTTTCAAGGAAATACCCTTACCAGTTGAAAACTGCTTTTCCTGAAATCACCAGCTGAACTTGCTATGGAAAGTAGTTAGATTAATTATTATATTGTGTGATCAATAAAATGTTGGGGTAAAGGAATTGAAGACAACTGTAGACAGCAGAGAGAGTGTAATAAGAGAGTGGTAAAGGGCAGAGGGTCAGACACGGGGTAAAAAACATATATATAAATCAAAAGTCTCTGGTCAGCAAGGGACTCTAAGGGAGGGTCATCTCTGACCCCCACCCCACTTCCGTTCTCCCCAGCACCAGACTCCACCTTCTTGACTGTCCTTCCAGGCCACAGGCAACCACTCCAACTAGAAGTCTCCGGCGAAATCACGCACTGCACGACTTTTTCTTTATCTCTCTCTGTTGTCTTACATTTGGTTTCATCTTATCCTCACCCCTGCACTTCGTACCCTGACAGAGGGACTAGACAGGCCTAGAATCACACATCTGAAATTCCCTAGTAACGCAAGTGTCTCTGGGGTCCTCCCTTGGATTGATCAACCTGTGAGAACAGAGTTATTGCTTTTTAGACACCTCAATAGAGTTGCTCTCTTGAGATCTCATTGATAAAAAAACAACTGAAGAGAGACTTCAGCAAACATCAATTCCTAGCAAAAAAGAAACACTCCTACTCCTAGTGGGAGAAACATTCCCCTAAGAGCTTTTCAAAGGGAATAAATCTTCCAATGGCTAGAAGTAAAAAAAGAGCCTCAGGTCTGAATAAACAAGGAAATATGTCTCCAACAAAGGAAAATGCTCCTCCATATCATGTAAATATGGAGGACGTTACCAAAATGACACACAAAGAGTTTCAAACATACATGGTAATCAAATTCTGTGAACTGGAACAGAAAAGAGACAATGAACTGCAGGAAATTAGGAAGTCCTTCCAGGATATAAAGGAAGAAATGGATACTCTGAGAAAGAATCAGGTGGAAATATTAGAGATAAAGTCTATAATACAAGAAATCAAAAACTCTCTGGAAAGTATTAAGAGTCGATTAGACCATGCTGAAGATCGAATCTCTGATGTAGAAGATAAAACCTCTGATCTAGAAAAAAACACCAAAAAGATTGAGAAAATAACTAAAAAACATGAGGATAATATATGAGAAATACTAGACTCTATTAGATGCCCAAACATCAGAATAATTGGCATCCCAGAAGGTGAAGAAACAAACAGTGGAATAGAAAATCTATTCCATGAAATCCTGGAAGAAAATTTCCCAAGTCTAGAGAGGCACTCGACCATCCACACCCAAGAAATACAAAGGACCCCAAATAGACTTAACCCCAGAAGATCTTCCCCAAGGCACATTATAGCCAGACTCTTGAAGAACACAGATTAAGACACGATACTAAAACTGGCATGAGAGAAAGGGGAAGTAACTTACAAGGGTCATCCCATCAGGCTAATTCCGGATCTCTCATTGGAAACAATGCAAGCAAGGAAAGAATGGGAAGACATATTGAAAGGGTTAAGAGAGAAACAATTTCAGTCAAGACTATTATATCCTGCAAGAATATCCTTCATATGGGAAAAAAAAGATTAAAATCTTCTCAGACAAAGAAAACCTGAATGAATTCACCAACACCAGACCAGCTCTTCAAGAAACCCTGAAGAAAGTACTGTTCCAGGAAAACTAAAGAATCAACAGACAGGAACAAAGAAGTAATAGGCAACTAAGACAATGTCCAACTTAAATATTGGTACAGATCCTGTAACATCGATAATAACATT